CCTCCTCCTTTGGAGCTGAGGACGAACCCAGGGCCTTGTGCTAAATTCCCAACCCCCATACTTTCTTCTTTCTGAGTGAGTTTTTGTAATTTGTCTATTTCGAGGAATTTACTCATTGATTTTTGTGTGTCTGAGTTGGATGACTAAGGTAATGGGTGTGTCTCTGCACTGTCTAAACACAGTTCTTCATAGTACTCCATTGTAATCCTTTTTTATTTTTGGAAAGTGGTTAGTGAAACCTCTTTTATTCTTTTTTTGGGGATCAGGGCAGGAGGATGGCTGAGACAGTGTCTCATGAAACACAGGCTGGCCTCAAACTGTCTATGTAGCCAAGGATGTCTTGCCTCCATCTCCCAAGTGCTGGGATTATGGGCATGCCTGGTTTATGTGATGCTAGGTTTGTGTGTGCTAGGCAAGCATTCTGTTAACTGAGACACATTCCCAGCCTAACTTCAACATTTAATCTATGTTAAATCTCATTTTTTTTTCTACTAGACTTTGCCAGTCCAGGCTGTTTTACACACAAAGCATGTCTTCATTTGGGCGGTGGTATTTCATGTGTCTCCTGTCCACAGAGGACAGATGGATAATCAGCCCCAAGCTTAAGCCCAGGCCTGAATTTCCCAGTGTGCTGACTTGTGCCTTCACATCTAGCTTTGCATTTTCTTGTTGCTGGTACTAGGGGTTTCCTTACTTGTCTTTTCTGCCTGGACACACATTGAAGTCTGTCTGCACTCTCCTGTGTTTATTGCTGGAGGAGAGGACTCTACAGTCCACCATGTGCTATTCTTCTGTCCAGTTGACAGCTAAGGAAATGAGGCTCATAGGATCCACCCAAGGTGGCCAAGAACAAACCCATTTGGGCTGCTCCATTTCCAAGTCTACACTCTGCCTACCACACCTACCACCTCTTAATTCTGATTCCTCCTTGTTCATTTTCAGGAGCTAGCTGCCAGCAAGTACTCTCCTCTTCCTGACTCTGGACACGACCTTGCTTGTCTGGAGACAGGCTCTGGCCAGGACCTGGCAGTGGAAAGTTATGGAGCCATACAGCCTTGGGGAGGAGGGGGCCCTTCCATCAGAAGGTCACCTCCCTTCCTTCTCTGAGAGTCAAGGGCTCAACTGCAGTGACACACTCAACCGGGACTTGGGCCCCAGCACACGGGACCTGCTCTATGCTGGCTTAAGTGGTTTGGACCTTGACCCCAGTCTCTCCACATCAGATATGCCCAGCGAGGTGCTGGAGGACAATCTGGACACCCTGTCCCTGTACTCAGGGAAGGACAGCGACTCTGTGAAGCTGTTGGAAGAATATGCAGACTCCGAATCCCAGACCTCCTTACAAGGTGAGGCTCTTCATGGACAGAGCACCCACAGTTCCTACAGCCAGCCAGGGATTGAATCTGCTAGCATTGGCTAGGAAAATTCTCCTTCTTAACTAGGCATGGTGATGCGTGCTCATAATCTCAGCATATAGAAGATAAATGCAGGAGAAACACTACAAATTTGAGGCTAGCCAGAGCTACATAGTAAGACACTGTCTCCAAAACCAAACATCCTAAACTAAAGAGAAGGAAGCAAAGAAAGGAAAACAAAACAAAAATCTCTGCTTCTATAGGAGGCTTTTGGCCTACTTTGGAATTGTTCCCGACTTCTGAAGGAAAGGGGACACTAACCCTAGGGAACAAGATTGAGAAGTGGGTGTGTGGGCAGACATCAGGTTTGTAGGAGACTTTCCTATCATTGCTGCATCTCAAGAGCACTTTTCATTCTTCCAGGATGAGCCAGGATCCTGTCCACTCAGTTCTGTGCTTGTCTAACTATTCCAGGCCTCATGTCCTCATCTGTAAAGTAAGGCGACCCCAATCCTTTCATGCCCCCTGCCCCAAAACACCGGTAGTGAGAAGTGAAAAAGGACAAGACTGCAAAAGCCTTCCACAGACCATAATGTACCAGACAGGTATTAGGTGCTTGATTTGTTTCTGCTTAGTCTTTTTTGAAGAGGTCTTGCTGTCTCTTCCAGACACTGAGGCTCCAGCAAACCTCTTGCCTCAGTCTGTCCAGGAGCCAGGACTGTAGGTTGTGGCACCATGCCCAGCTAGCTGTTTGGTCAACTGTACTGGATACTGTCAGTAATAGTTCATCTCCAAAGTATTCAGTTCCAAACTTTTCTGTTCAGCCGTGGAAGAACAAAGGGGGAATTAGTGAAATGATCGAACAACTTGGGTAAGTCTCAGTTTGGTTTGCTGTTGGCCTCCTGTAGAAGAGAATTCTTTTGTTTGGTTTTGGTTTGGTTTGGTTTTGACCATCTTTATTGGTTCCTGGCAAGTTGCTTCAATGGGTTGACTGGGCTAGAGCTCCTAGGAGTTTATAATCGCAGTTTATAATCAGGAAGTCCACATGTAAATGCCAGTATACAGAGACAGTAATCTGTTGGGATTACTGAGTTTGAGTTTGGAACACTGAGGAAGTGTTCCAAAAACTTGTGGCCATGAAAGATTCTGAAGACCCCACTCCACAAAAAATGTCCAAGCAGTGTCAGGCCTGTGTCTGTGTTGAAATGATGGCAGAGCAGCAAGTTTTGAATCATAAGAGTTCATTCATATGGGAGGACTGTCTGCAGCACTAACCAGGCCCAGGCCTGTGGTATGGCACTCAGCTTGGGCCATGGTGATACTGAAAAACACTAGTGGTGGGGATGTGTACATTTTGCTGGGCACAGGAACCCTAATTATTCTTAGGGTTCCACTTAGTTTAGCTTTCCTTAATATTCAACTGTCATACTGCTCCCTCAAAATTAAATTTCAACTCCATGCTTTTGAAACTTAAATTTAGGTTCATATATGTGAATATGTTTATGTCATTGTCTTCCTTTTGGTTTTGAGACATGGATCTCACTATGCTGTTGATCAAGCTGGCTCTGACTTCCTGGGCTCAAGCAATTTTCCTGCCTTGGCCTCCTGAGTACGTGGGACTACAGGCATATACTGCATGTCCTCAGACTCTGAGTAATCCTCCTGTCTCAGTTTCCCAAATGCTGATGACTACTGGCAGGAGCTACAACTTCCAGCTATATTAATGTTGTAAATTAGAAAAGTAAAATGTGCTGGGGGTAGTCACACGCGCCTTTAATCCTAGCACTCAGGAGGCAGAGGAATGTGGATCTACGAGTTTGAGGCCAGCCTGGTCTACAGATGAGTTCCAGGACAACTAGGGTTACACAGAGAAACCCTGTCTCAAAAACCCAAACCCAAACTCAAAAAAAAAAAAAAAAAAGTTTGGTGTATTTGGATTCCTGTGTAAGATTGAATTGATTGTTATTGTCAGATCACAGTCTTGTTGGACTGTTAAAAGTCTGTTAAAGTGTTTCTATGAATAGCTTTAAAAATATTTTATTTATGTGTATTTGTTAATGTTTGTGAGTGTATATTCCACATGTATGTAGGTGCCTGTGACAGAGCAGGGCATTGGAGCCCCTGGAGCTGTAGTTACAAGCAATTGTGAACTGCCTCCCGTGGGTCCTGGGTACTGGACTCTCTCTGGTCCTTTGCAAGAGCAGCCAGTACTCTCTCTCCAGCCCTTGTGAACAGCTTTTGACATACTGAATTTCCTTTTGTATTAGTTAGCTGACATTCTGCTCACAGTTCTCAGCTTCATGACACTGCTTTCTAGAAAGCTCAGGTGACTGTTTAGGCCACCTGCCTGGCTCGGTGTCCTTGTCAGTTTTGTGTTGATGTAGTTTGTTTTCGAGTTTTACAGTTGCTTTGATATGCACATAAAGCACCCAGCAAGGCTGAGGACCATATCCTAGGGAACCTGGGTTTTCTTGTCTATACTTTTAGAGTTCTTCGATTACTCACCACAGTGGTTTTTCTCCCTTCAGTCTTGTCCCAAGCCTCTCTCTGGCCCCCTGGATCAGGACAGAGGCAGTCTGCTCCTTCTCCACACGATGGCCTTTTCAGTACTTGAAGACACCTTCCTTTGCCACCTGAATGTCCCTATTTCCTTCAGCTGCTCCTCAGGAGACACAATTCATAAAAATGCCAGCTGTCATTTTACCAAGAGATACAGAAAATGTGGGAAATTCAGACACATACGAGGAGAGGGTAAACCCAGCCCAGCTCTCTGCCAGTGAACCCCAAACTGCCTGTTTCCACTTAAATCTACTTTTCTGTTTTCACACCTGGGGTGATTCTGTTTTCAGATAGGCTACTTTCACTCTTTTGTCTTTCTTCCTTTCTTTCTTCTTTCCTTCCTCCCTTCTTTTTTTTTTTTTTTAATTTAGTAGTATGATATGAACATTCTTCCATGTTCTTGGGCATTTCTACAATTTTTGTTTGGAAAGCTGTTTCATATGTCATAATACAGGGCTGGTGTATAGCTCACTTGTAGAGTACTTGCCAAGCACTAGCATATGTCAGACCTTTGGTTCAACCTCCAGTGTAACACACACACACACACACACACACACACACACACACACACACACACACACAGAGAGAGAGAGAGAGAAAATAATGCACTCACCTCTAAGCTCTCTTGTCAGATATAAGGTTGTTTTAACATTTTACTAGAAAAATCAGGTAGATTTTTGTAAAAAGCTGAGAACCCAAGAGCAGAGCCAAATGTGTGAGTGCACAGTTGCATTATTTTCTCGGGTTTGGATAATGTAGCTCCAGATAGACCTTGTGTGAGTATCAGTACCTGGTCGGCTTCCAGCTCTGCTGGTCATGCTGCTGCCCAAGAAGCTCAGCCTGGTGCCATCCCCAGCCCTCCACATCTTGCACCAGGACCAGGTGCAGTCCTGTAGCTATGGCCTGTTCTCTCAGGACCTTGGTTCCTCCCAGCTGTGCCTTGTCCTTGCCCATGCAGAGTGCTGACGTGGAGGGGTCTCAGGCAACCTGGACAGGGCTCTGTGCTAAGGCTCTATATTGCTTTAGGACTCCCAAACCCTAGCTTGACATAATCTGTGCTTTCTCCCTTTGTTTAGACCTGGGGCTGGGAGCACTCAAGGTACCTAAAGAGGCTGATGAAGGAGGCAGGGCCACTGGGAGTACAAGGAAAGGCAAGCGGCAGCACAGTTCCCCTCAGAACCCGCTCCTGGACTGCAGCCTGTGCGGGAAGGTGTTCAGCAGCGCCAGTTCCCTGAGCAAGCACTACCTGACACACAGCCAGGAGAGGAAACACGTGTGCAAAGTCTGCAGCAAGGCCTTCAAGCGCCAGGACCACCTGTATGTCACGAGTCTGGTCAGGAGAAGGGCAGGGGGCATGCACCTGTCCTTCTGTGCTCTCTCTCATCCACCCATCCTGTCCTTGGTTGAGTTCCCACCTCTGTGCTACCCAGATGTGTGTTCCCTATCCTCTGGTATGGACTCTGCTCTCTTCACACCGCTACTGTCTGGGGCAGGTCTCTCTACTGAGCCCCCAAATTTATACCAGTGAGGAAATCCCTGCCTCTATTTGCAGACATGACTCTTGTGGTTTATAAATGTGATTGATTACCAGGCATGATGGCACACTGGGGAGGTGGAGGCAGGAGGAGCAAAAGTCCAAGGTCAACCTCAACTACATACATAGCAAGTTTGAGGTCCACCTGGATTACATGAGGGAAAAAAAACAATACAAATGAGTTTGGCTAACTTGGTAAAGAGATGTCCCAAGTCCCTGGTAGGTGGCTAAGGACACTGGGTCTGCAACCCCTGAGGATTTTCCAAAAAAGCCTGTATAAAAGCTTAGAGTGACCACATAGTAGTGATGGTGGTGATGGCGGTGGTGGTGGCGGTGGTGGTGGTGGTGGAGGCGGCGGCGGCAGTGCATGCCTTTAGTCTCAGCACCCAGGAGGCAGAGGCAAGCAGACCTCTGTGAGTTTGAGATGGTCTACACAGCAAGGTCTAGGACAGACAAAGCTACACAGAAAAACTCTGTCTCGAAAAACCAGAAAAAAAAAAAAAGGCGCTTAGAGCAAGCTCCCTTGTAGTTAATGCCTTAAGAATAACAAGTTTTTGTTGCTGTGAGGCTCAAAAGTGGGAGAGGACAGAGCCTAGCTAGGGTGCTGGGTGGAGGGAGGGGCTTTCTCTTCACCCTCTGGTTGGTCCTCACCTCAGGCAAAGGAGGTGGCTTTCTCCTAGGACTAGTACTTATAGGTCTTCTGAGTCCTTTCCTTACAAGACCGAGGACATTCTTTGTAGAAAGACAGTAATCATTAAAATGTCCTAGCCATATAACCCTGAGATTGTTCAAAGCTAGACTGTCAGGATCCCGAGGGTAAGGGCTCATTGTTGGCTCTGTCACGGTCCACATAGGCAGGAGTGGACACAACACACATTAACATGCATTTATACTTGCACTGATTATTGACATACTAGCCTTTTGGCTCTAGGAAGGTTTTATATTGGTAAGTTGTGCAGTGGGGGGGATTCCAGGAAACTGTCACCATAGACAGTCCTATGGTAGTTCCAGATTGGCATCTCCTCAAATATATTCTCCAGAGCTCTGCTGCTCAGGAATGCTGGTGGAACTATATGAAAGTAAAGGTTAAACATGCCACATGCCCCCCACATGCTTTTGAACCTTCAAAGAGTAAAGTGGGGTGTGTGTTTGAGGGGTGTCTGCATGCTTTAACACATCCCAGCTGTGCCCGGGGCCCCAGGGCTCACCTTTAGAGAACTGTTGTCCCTTGTGATCCCTCTTTGGGGAAACCTGATCTGGCTCTCATGGGATTTATTTTTTTCCCACAGGGTTTGTTAGTGGTAAGGGCAGGGAATTGAGTCTCTCCCAGTTGGTTAGACAGAGTAAGGGACCCAAGCAGTTCTTGTATTGGGGTGTGGGCCTGCCTGGTGATCTCCCTTCCATGTCTCACTTCAGGACCGGGCACATGCTCACCCACCAGAAGACCAAGCCCTTTGTGTGCATTGAGCAGGGCTGCAGCAAAAGCTACTGTGACTACCGCTCCCTGCGCCGCCACTATGAGGTCCAGCATGGGGTATGCATCCTGAAGGAGGCCCCACCAGAAGAGGAGGGCTATGGAGACCCAACCCACAACCACGATGTGGCCAACCAGCCTCCACCCAGTGGCCTGAGGTCCCTGGGACCTCCAGAAGCTAGATCCCCTGGCTCTGTCCTGCCCAACCGAGACCTCCTTCGCTGTATTGTAAGCAGCATTGTCCACCAGAAGATTCCCTCTCCTGGCCCAGCAGTGGGTCCTTCTGACACTGAGGCAAGGAGCTCGGCCTGTGCCTGCCCCACCTCACTGGGGTCATCATCGTGTATACCAGCCAGCACCCCAGTGGCCCCAGGAACCCTGGGCTCCGAAGTTCCTGAGGAAACTCATCCCCCACGGAAGGAACCTGCCACTGAAGTGTTCACAGCTGTCCAGTCAAGGGTGGCTGAGAATGGTGCCCCTGACCCACCAGAGTCAGAGCTGGAGTCAGAGTCTCCACGGCTTCAACGGCCATCCTCCCTGGAGGGCTGGCCGGAGGGCAGCTCCCTTCCTGCCTGCCTGCCTCTCTTCCGAGGCCATTCTGTTCCCTCAGGATCCCAGCCATCCAACCACAACTTCCAGTGGCTCCGGAACCTGCCTGGCTGTCCCAAGAACAAAGGCAGCAACGTGTTTATGGTCCACAAGCCCCCTGCAGTGCCATCCCGGGAGGGCTCTGAGGGGGGCCCTGGGCCCAGCAGCATCCCCACCACAGTAGAACCTTCACCCAGCTTGGGCACCAGCCAGGAGGATCTGCTGCCATTTCCTCCTGCACTCCTGAAGGCACCTGGTGAGACCTCCAGTGATGTCCGACAGACAGCTGGGGAAGATGATGGCTGGGCTCCCAAGAAGAGCAAACCCGACTGTGAGTCATTCCCATGGCAGAGCCCCCCAGAGCTTGGGCTCCAAGATACACAGAACCCAGGTGGGCTCCCCTCAGATGCCACACCCCTCTTCCGGCAGCTGTTCATGAAGTCACAGGAGTCTCTGGTGAGCCACGAGCAGATGCAGGTGCTCCAAATGATTGCCAAGTCCCAGCGGATCTTCTCCCACACCCAGGTGGCTACAGCCTCAGCCCAGAGACCAGGGCCGGAGGGCAAGCAGTCAGCCCTGAAGCCATTGCAGGGGCCATGGCCACCACAGGCCCTGCCACCAGTACCCGCTGTGGACTCCTTCCAGATAGGCCCTGGACACTCAGAGCCAGAGGGATCCCCAGTCCGCAGGAGGAAAACTATGCCTGCAGTGTCCAGAGAAGCATCTCCTGGTGGCCCGAGGCGAGACACAAAAGGAGGACCCAAAGTGGCCTCTGCACCACCATCCCTCACAGGGCCAGCTCTGCACCCGTCACGGAATCCAGATAGCTCTTCTCTGGCCAAAGGGACCTTGGACCTGGGGGACATCCTCCCCAGTGCAGGCTCGCGGCAGTCCCAGTTAAGTGGAGATGAGCCAGCTGGAACCCAGCTGGTTGGGAAACAGGGCCAAGGTGAGAATGCCCTGGCTTCAGGGGCCATGAGAGGTGAGAAGGGCCCAGCCTGCCCACGAGGCGGAGGCTACAGACTCTTCTCAGGCCACCCCAGGGCCCAGAGATTCTCTGGTTTCCGGAAGGAAAAAGTAAAGATGGATGTGTGCTGTGCAGCTTCTCCCAGCCAGGTGGCCATGGCCTCCTTCTCCTCGGCTGGGCCTCTGGCAGATCCCCCCCGGGACATGAAGTCTAAGCTGACAATCTTCAACAGAATCCAGGTATTTGTACCCCTCTACCACCCTATGCTGTGGCAGGGATGTGTGTATGTCCTTGGATGTATAGCATTGGTTAACTGCAGGCACTTCCCCCATTGCAGTGAGTCCTCAGATGTGATTTTACCAGGAAAAGTGCTGACCACTGTTGTTCACTAAGCTCTCTTCCCTGCTTTCCTTTGCCTCCTAATTCCTCCTAGATTTGCCTCCTTCAACTCTTGAGAGGAGATCAAGGTACAGGCCTCCTCCCTTAACTGTTAACTGCATGTGATGGCTGTGCATTCCACATGCATGCACAGAACCTGGGTCCTTTGTGTATTATGCAGTGGCACTTAGCCACTCCTCTTGTGAGAGCAGCAGCATTCCCACCATCTCACAGCTACTATTTTGTAAACATTTACACATTTGTTGGCCAAATGTTGTATCATGAACCCTTTGAAATTTTGTGCTTTAGCAGATTTTGGTATAGTTGCAGGTTCTGGCACAACTATTACTATTGGCCAGAACATTTCATCACTACCAGAAGATACCCTGCATCCCTTAGGTATCACCCCAGTTTTTTGGTCCCTATACCATTATCCTTCCAGCCCTAGGCACCCACAGACCTGTCTCTGTGGCTTAACTGCTATGGAAATTTTATGTCAGAGTCACACATTGTGTGGTGGTTTGTGTCTAGCATTGTCCGCTTATATTACATGATCAAGGTCCATCCATGTGGCAGCATCTGTCAGTACTTCATAATGTTTTTTTAGAAATTAAAAACAATTTTTACATTTACTTATTTAGAGAAAGGGTGTCACTATGTAGCATTAGCTGGCCTGGGACTTGCTATGTAGACCAGGCTGGCCTTGAATTCACAGAGATCAGTCTACCTCTGCCTCCCAAGTGCTGGGATTAAAGACCTGTGCCGCCACACTTGGCAGTGTGTGTGTGTGTGTGTGTGTGTCTGTGTGTGTGTGTCTGTCTGTCTGTCTGTCTGTGTGTGTCTGTGTGATCATGAGCATGCCACAGAGCTCATGTGGAAGTCAGAGGACAGCTTGTAGGAGCTGGTTTTCTCTTTCTACCATGTGGATTGCAAAGATCAAACTCAGATCATCAGACTTGGCAGCAAGTGCCTCTACCCCCTGAGCCATCTTACTACCCTACTCCATTCCTTTTCTGGCTGAGCAATAGTCCAGTGGGTAGACGGCCAGATTTTATTTGGTCAGTCATCAGTGGACTGTTTCACTCTTTGACTCTTGTGAGTGAGCTGCTGGTAAGGCTGTGTGCAGCTTTTGTGTGGGTGCATGTTCTCATTTCTCTTGGCTAGACCCTAGGACTGGAATCACCAGATCCTAGAATCTCTGCTCGATGTTTAAAGAGTAGCCAGACTGCTTTCTAGAGAGCAGCACTGTTTTGCAGCACCTCTGCCATGCATAAGTGCCCTGGTTTCTCCATGCTCTTTGCTGTCATAGTCACTATGGATGTACAGTGGTGTCTGCTTGTCTTGCCACTGTCATGCCCTGGCGCTGCTGAAGTTAGCATCCTTCCATGTGCTTATAGGCCACTTGGGAACTGTTATCCTACTAACTTGCAAAGATATATATACATATGTATATATGTACATATATGTGCATCATACATGTAACTTGCAAGTGCTTTCTCCCTTTGTATGGGGTGTCTTTATATCTTATGTGTGAATACTTGTGGGGTTGAAACTTTGGGTTTCAATGAATCCAGTGTGTGTCTGTTGGGTTTTCTGCTTTGATTTGGTGTCAAGCCTGAGACACCATTGCCCAATCACCATCATGCAGGTTTCCCCAATGCCATATTTCTTATTCCCTTGTCTGGGCTCTGCTGGCTCAGATATCCTCTCATCTCCAGGGTGGAAACATCTACAGGCTCCCCCATCCAGTGAAGGAAGAGAGCTTGACAGGCGGATGGTAAGTTCAGAAGCCCATGCCCCACCAGGGCACTGCCCTGGCAAGTCTTCCAGATTCTCTGCACTGTCTTGGGTGAAGGAGCCAAATGCCTCCAGCCCTGCAGAGGGCACGTCAGCCCTTGGAAAGTTGAATATAGTCTTCCATTTTCATTGTTTAGTAAGAGTTGTCAGTGGATTGGGGTTACATAAACAAACAAACAAAACAGCAAAAACAACAACAAAAGCAGCAGTCAGTGGTAGAGTCTCATGCTTCCATTCTTGCCCCCCTGCCTTTTCTACCCACAGCCATCAGCCAAATGGGGGTCCCACAGACTGGATGGAGTCAAAGAGCACTTTTGTGTGCAAGAATTGCAGCCAGATGTTTTATACCGAGAAAGGGCTGAGCAGCCACATGTGTTTCCACAGTGACCAGTGGCCATCACCTCGGGGGAAGCAGGAGCAGCAGGTGAAGGACTTCTGTGGTACAGGGCTGGACAGGCTTTGGGGAATGGATGAAAGGACAGTGTCACCCATCCAGGTTAAAGGCAGCATCCTGGCAGGGATGGTGGGGGTGACGTGAGTGCCAGGACCATCTGTGCAGGCCCTTGCACTGTCCTCCCGGCCTTTCTATATCATCGGGAGCAGTTTCTTCTCCGTGGCTGCTCCTTCTTTTAAAGCCGCCAACTCTCCATGCTCAGGTATTTGGCACAGTTTTGCACTGAGGCCTGATGGGGATGGGGTCCCCCGGAAGCCATAATGTCCTTGGTCAGCATAGCCACAGTTGGAGAACATGGCCTAGGTGGGTGCTTCTCCAGGTGTTGTTTCTCACCTGCTGTGGAAGACCTGGGAAAACTGTAGTGGGTAGCCATTCCAGCTTGGTTCTGGAAGTTCCAACCCCCATTGAGACTCTGGCAACTGTCACGCCTACGAGGCGGGGCGAGGGGAGGCGCCTGGGGACCCAAGCACTATTAAAAGCCCGGCTAGCTCAGTCAGTAGAACATGGGACTCTTAATCCCAGGGTCGTGGGTTCGTGCCCCACGTTGGGCGCCAGATATTGGAGAAATTATTTTGGCCACTCCACGTAGTTAAAAGGATATTTATTTAATGGCGTAACTCACAAATTAAGTAATGGGTAGGTCGCAGGGTCTGGGGAAGGTGTAATGCAGTCCAGCGGTGTTCTCCGGAGCTCTGCACAGTCAATCTGCACCGGTCAGCGTCCCGGCACCGAGCGAGCGCCCAGAGCGAGCGCTGGCCCATCCAGCTCTCGGGTCCCCAGGCGCCTCCCCTCGCCCCGCCTCGTAGGCGTGACAGTTGCCAGAGTCTCAATGGGGGTTGGAACTTCCAGAACCAAGCTGGAATGGCTACCCACTACAGAAAACCCCAAGCCAGAAGCACTCAGAAGTCCTTACTCCAGAAGCCTCGGTTGGCACCCACAGTTAACACTAGCTGAGCCCATGTCAAGCCTAACGATTTGAGTGCTGGCAACAGCAACGACCTTGTCAGCCCAGGCCCTGACCCCAGGTAGCAATGACCCAGAGTTTGCAGGGCTGGGATATGGGGGAAGAAGGAACTGAGGAAGGCCAAGGGGCCAGGCAGGAAGGCTGGCAGGGAGGAAGGAGCAATGGAAGATGTGAGAGGTCATTGTGATGAGTCTCTGAAGCTCATCTCTTTACTGTTGGACCCTGGACTGAAGTTCCTGTGTCAGTGCTAGGCTGCTGTTGGCTCATAAGAGCCACTGGCATCTGTGAGAATACATTTTTATTTTGTCACACCATAATACTATGTCTCTGGCTCCCATTCTTTATATATATATATATATATATATATATATATATATATATATATATATATATATATATAGTTTTGTTTTGTTTTTTGAGACAGGATCTCTATATGGCCTTGGCTTACCTGGAACTTGCTATGTAGACCAGGCTAGCCTTGAACTCACAGAGATCCACTTGCCTCTGCCTCCTGTGTGCTGAGATTAAAGCCATGTACCAATGCACCCTGTATCTGGCCCTCACTCTTGGAATGCTTGTCACGTGAACCACTGCACTGCCCTATACATCGCTATGTGAGTGTATGAGGAGGCTCTGGGCCTCAGGATTTCACCATACTCAGTATGTTGGTCAGCTCTGGCTCAGGTGGGGCTGGGCTGTGAGCAGAAAGTCTGCTCAGCCTCTTTGCTAAGGCCTGGGTATGGCCATGGCAGGCATAAGTATCCTGCTTCCCTCTGCCACCATGACCAGCCCCATTTTCCTATCCCTGAACAAGCTGAAGACTGAGTTTGTACAGCAGGTGGCCTCAGGTGACACCTGTGGTTCTGTCCTCTCCTCTTCAGGGACAAGAGAAAGATGGGGAAGAGAGAGACAGCAAGGAGAGCAACCAGAACAGAAAGCGGAAGAAGCGGCCCCAGCCCAAGGCCCTGTTTGCCCCTCCTGTACCCTCTGCCCTTGGGGAGCCAGGCCCAGGAGGGTGCCACCAGAGCTGCCTACGCTCTCCTGTGTTCCTAGTGGACCACCTCCTGAAGGGCTTGTTTCAATGCTCTCCTTACACACCACCACCCATGCTCAGCCCCATCCGGGAGGGCTCTGGCCTGTACTTCAACACCCTCTGCTCCACGTCCCGGGCTGGGCCCCATCTCATCAGCCCTGTGTTTGGTGAGTGAGGCCAGAGCATGACTCTGATCCAGGCTAGGTTGCATCTCCTATGGCCCATAATCACATCATCTTGTGGTGTCTGGTCCAGCCATTCTTTCCCACCTTGTATGTGCCTGCTCTAAGGGACTCAGTGCTATTCAGAAACATACCAAGACCATTCTTGGATAAGAACCTTCTAGATTTTTTTTTCAAACAGTCAGAAAGAACACATAGATGCTATTTAGCTCAATCATTTCTATGTTTGTTTTCATAACCACTGTATGGAGACAGAGGCACATACTGTGCATGCCTGCCATGCAGAACAGCCATTTCAAGCTTGTGATTTGAGGCTGTGCTCAGGGTCTGAGCCTCCCTGCATGCTCTCTTTAGCGGGCTTTACCACCCCAGAAACCTGTACTCCCGGCAGCTCTACCACCCGCCCAGCTGTCATCCCTGCAGCCCTATGCACCTTCTAGCCTCAGGAAGCCCCTCATCTACTTCCTGTCCCTGTAGACTTGCCTATGCTAGGTATTTCATATAAATGACATCATACACTTGCAGCCTTTGATGTTTTACCCATTTTACTCAGTTTGATGTTTTTAGGGGTTACCAGGTGGTAGCATATTTAGAGCTTTCTTTTTCTTGGTGAGTAATAGTCTACTGGATGGCTAGACCACACTTTTTTCTTTTATCGTCAGTTGATGGGTATGGGTATTATTTTCCTTCTGGCTATTATAAAAAATGCTGTAAGAACATTTGTGAACAATTTCCTGTAGGGAGTCTATGTGCTAATTCCTTTTGTGTGAAATATCTAGAGTGAAGTGCTGGGTCACATGGAAATTCCATTTAACCTTCTAAACTGCCAAACTATGTGTCAGAGTATTTGTCCCATTTTGGATTCCCACCAACAATCCAGGGGAGTCCTGATACCACTGCTCCTTGCCTGCACGTATAGACTGTGCTTCTTTCAAACCGTCCTGTCAGGTGAAAGGTGCTTCTTGCTGTGTTTGGATTCGTGTTGTCCTGACAGCTACTGGTGCCAAGCCTCTTGCTGGGAGCCCCTTGGCAGTTTGTGTTCGGGTGTTTTATGTGACAAGGTGGCTAGCATGGGGTCATAAAGGGACATTCTCCTTTTCTCTGTAGCCCAGGCAGGCCTTGAGTTTACATGCGCCTGCCTCAGTCTCACAATGCCCCCCCTCAGGAGTTTAATTTTGATTCTTTTTTAAAAAATCTTTTCAAATTGATTTTTTATTTTTATGTGCATTGATGTTTTGCCTGTATGTATGTCTGTGTGAGGGTGTCAGATCCCCTGGAACTGGAGTTACAAACAGGTGTGAGCTGCCATGTGGGTGCTGGAAGAGCAGCCAGTGCTCTTAGCCTCTGAGCCATCTCTCCAGCCCCTAATTTTGCCTCTTAAATTTACATCTTTAGTCAGTTTCCAATTAGCTTTTGGATATTGTATGAGGTAAGTATCAAAGTTCATTATTTTGCATGGATTCTGCTTGCTTGTCGTTTGCTGAAAAGATCATTCCCACTGAATTGTTTTAGGCACCGTTATTAAAATCAGGTGACCAAGGCTGGGGATGGCTCAGCTGATAAAGCACTTGCTACACAAGCACAAAGACTGGGCTCAGTCCCCAGAGCCTATGTAAGAAATGCTGAGTGTAGTGGCATGCATTGTAATCCCAGCATTAGGAGACAGGGGCATCCCCGTGGTTCGCCTGGCAGCCAGTGCAGCCTACCTAGTGAGCTCTAGGCCACTGAAAGATTTTGTCTCAAAAATCAAGGTGGGAGATAACTGAGGAACAACCCCTGGCCTTCACACGCACGCACGCACGCACGCACGCACGCACGCACGCACTTGCATACTTATCTGCATACATTTGTACTTACAGACACGCACCCCATTAACCAACAGTGGATGGGTTTGCTCCTTAGTTCTTTTCTGTTGGTCTGCATGCTTATTCTTAGGCTAGTACCACAGTGTTTTGACCACTGTATTTTGTAGTAAACTCTTAAATAGGTGTATTTGAGTTCTCCCATGTTGTTCTGTCTTCCAGTGTTGTTTTAGCTCCAACAGGCCCGTTGCATTGCTGTAGAATTTTAGGATGAATGGTGATTTTGATAGTTATTCTGTTTAATATGTAGATAAGTTAGGAAGTATTACCATCCTAAATAATTTAGTCCTTTCTATCCATGATGAACCATTTTCCCGTTTATTTAGGTCTTGTTGCACTTTGTCTCATTTTTTGTGAGCGTGTGTCTCACGTATCTTTGTTGCTTTTTTTTTTTAAAGATTTATTTATTATGTATACAGTGTTCTATCTGCACATTATCCCTGAAAGCCAGAAGAGGGCACCAGATCTCATTACAGATGATTGTGAGCCACCATGTGGTTGCTGGGAATTGAACTCAGGACCTTTGGAAGAACAAGCAGTGCTCTTAACCTCTGAGCCACCTCTCCAGCCCCTGCTTGTTGCTTTTTTGAGATAGGATCTCTATACAGCCCAGCCTGGCCTGGGACTCACCATCCTCCTACCTGTGTCTCCAAAGTGGTGGAGTGGCAGGCACATGCCACCATGTGTTGTGCAGCAGACATCTTTCCGTAGCAGAATCCATTCAGCTTTGTGCTCATGTAGTAATGGTGAAGAGCAGAGACGCTGTACTCTCCATCTGATGGGCTTTTCCTGCTCCAGCTGTTTCCTAAGCAGATGTGTCAGTAGACCCCATTCTCCACTGTTGTCCTCACTACTTTACACACAATATTATAGATCTGGTCACATGAAGAAGCCAAGGGAATAGAAGAAAGCAAGCACTGCCTGCAGCGTTTGCTTTACCCTTCATTGCCACCCCATGTCTTTTCTGTAATTCCTGTGAGCCCGTTACCATCAGGGGCTATTCTTCTCTTGTATGTGTGTATGCACTCTAATGTGTATACAGGTGCACGTATGTATGGAGGGTAGACAACAACCCTGACTGTCATGGCTCGCTCTTTTGAGAAAGGACCTTTCACTGGCCGAGAGCTCATCCAGCAGAGTAGGCTGGGTGGCCAGTGGGCCCAGGGACTCTATTTGCCTCTCCACCATTGGGGTTGCAAATATGCACCATGACACACAGGGCTTTTTGTTTTGTTTCGTTTTCTGTTGTTTTTCTAAAGGTGTTCTGGGAATTGAGCTGAGGTCTTCTCACTGACTGGACCGCCTCCACAGAAGCACAGTTGTGCTCTTTTGTACTGTTATTGTAACATATATTTCTAAATGTTATAGGCCCATAATATACATTGCCTTATGTGGCTGATCTTTAAATTAATTAGAAAAAGAAGATAAACTGCAACAATTACACTGCCTTTTATTACCTGAGTAACATCTCTGCCAGCACTTCACTTTTAAGAGTGTGGAGCCACACCACTGCCTCAGCACTCTTTACAGTCTCTTTTTAAAGGTATCATAGCTTTAAGGCACACAATTCTCATATTCTAGAATTTATCCTTGTTTGTTTTGAGAAAAAAAGTCTCACTGTGTAGTCTTGGCCAGCATGGAGCTCACTGTGTAGAGCAGGCTGGCCTTACCTTTGAAGAGACCTGCCTGCCCCTGCCTCCTGAGAGCTGGGATTAAAAGTATGCACTACCATGCCTAGCTTCATTTTTTAAATCATGTGGATGTGTCTGTGTGTGTGTTTCAGGGTATTAGATGCACATGTGAGGGGAGGTGCCTGTATAGTTTAGATAGGAGGTTTGGACCCCCTGGGGCTAAAGTTACAGGTGGGTATGAGCTACTTTATGTGAGTGCTGGGAACTGAACGCAGGCCCTCTGCAAGAGCAATCTCTGCTCTTAACTACTGAGCCATCGCTACAGCCCCACAACTTATCATTTTAAACTGCATAATGGCTCAGTGGTTCTTAGTAATGATAACAGGACCATCATGGTATACTTGTTTTTTAGGCATTTTTCTCACCTAAGAAAGAAACTCCATTCTCTGTCATCACCCCTTTCCCATCCTCTTGTCCAGGTTTGAGCTGAGCTCATCCACTTTCTTTCTCTGTGGGGTTGGCTGCTTGAAAGGTTTCAAACACATGGAGTCACAGTATGTGGTTCCTTATGCTTGGCTTCCCTCACTCCGTCATGTTCAGATTCCATCTGGGCTGTGGGATGTCTCAGTCTTTCTCCCAAGGGTGAAGACTATCCCCCCTGTAATATTTCTCAGAAGCCAAGATTGGTAGCAACAGATTTTTCTCAATTTTCCTTAAATCTGGGAATCTTTTTCTTTTTTCTTTTTCTTTCTTTCTTTTTCTTTTCTTTTCTTTTCTTTTTTGAGACAGGGTTTCTCTGTGTTGTTTTGGTACCTGTCCTGGATTTCACTCTGTAGGCCTCAAACTCACAGAGATCCACCTGGCTCTGCCTCCCAAGTGCTAGTATTAAAGGCGTGCACCATCACCGCCCAGCTCATTTTACTTTTTAAGGTTAATTTTCTGGCATAAGACTTGTTTGACATTTATTTTCAGCATATGTGCCCCTACCTTCTGACCACCAATTTCACGAGAAGTCAACTGTAAGTTTTACTGAAGTTCCCTTGCGTACGAAGGGTGAGGTGGTTTTGTTTTTCTCATTTTGCTTTTGAAATCTGAACCTTTGCCTCTGTGTTTGTCCTATTTAGAATCACTGTGCTTCTTGGATGTGCATATTGTTTCTCACCAAATCTCGGGGACCTTCTACCATTTTCTCTTTTTTTTTTTTTTTTGGTTTTTCGAGATAGGGTTTCTCTGTGTAGCTTTGTGCCTTTCCTGGAACTCACTTGGTAGTCCAGGCTGGCCTCGAACTCACAGAGATCCGCCTGCCTCTGCCTCCCAAGTGCTGGGATTAAAGGCGTGTGCCACCACCGCCCGGCCCATTTTCTCTTTGAATATGTTTTCTTTCCCTGCTCTTCCCTGCCTGGTGCATCCATTGCATGTGGTTGCAGTGTTCAGTGGTGTCCACCCTTCTCCATTCCTTTCCCTCTTCAGGTTCTTTATTCATTCACCTCCAGGTTTGTTGACCACTTCTCTCTACCAACTCAGTCAAACCTGTTGAGTTTAACTTTGGTCATTGTACTTTTTAACTCCAGAATTTCCACCTCTTAAAGTTATTCCCTGATGGGAATCCATCATTTCAGTTTCCTTGCTTTTTAAAACTGTACAGTTTTTAAAATTCATTTTCTCAAGTTACATCTATTTGTGTGGAGCACACGTGGAGGTCAGAGAACAACCTGTAGGAGTCAGTTCTCCTCTTCCACCACGTAGGTCTAGGCATCAAACTCAGGCCATCAGGCGTGGCAGCAAACACCTTCACCCACTGAGCCATCTAACAGGCCCTTCTGCAATTTCTTTTTTTTTTTTTCAGTACTTGAGTAAAACCGAAATTTATTATAAGCCACAGTCGTCCTAGGGACCTCCATGCCATATATATAGCCTCCATGATCTGATTGTTCTTTATTTTATATCTAGACTCCACTTATGAGTGAGTACATACCATGACTGTCTTTCTGGGTTTGGGTTACCTCACTCAGGATGATTTTTTCTAGTTCCATCCATTTGCCTGCAAATTTCATACTTTCCTGTAACTCACTATGTAGACCAGGCTGGCCTTGAACTCACCACCATGCCACATTTTGTTTTAAATTACTGAGTTTCTTTCTCTGCTTTTTTCAGAAATCTTTCCCCTCCTCGGAGCCATACAGCTTTGTTTCCTTCTATGTCCACAAAGGCAGGTAGACGATCCTGAGGGTCCTATCAGGTCAGTCTTGTTGAGGCTCTTCCCTGTGTGTTTTCTAGACCAAGTGGACGGCTCCTTTGGCATCTGTGTGGTGAAGGATGACACCAAAATCAGCATCGAACCGTGAGTTGGGACACTTTGTGCCCAAGTCCTAGTGAGGGGGCTTTCATCAGCTTGGGCTCCAAAGTCTCCTTTTCCAGGCTTGTCTTCCCAGGGAGGGTAGGCCAGATGCAGATACTCTCTGGAGAAGCTGTGGTCTTCTCCAGGAGCAGGTCAAAAGTCCCCATTGTGTTACTTCTGTCTGAACTCACACAGATGAGCTTGGGGTGGGGGTAGAATGTCTTGGGTGGACCTGGGCTTCTAGACAGAAGTGGTGACAGCATAGTGTAGGAGGATCGAGCATTTATGGGATGTGGCTGGACACAGGTGGCCAGTGTCAGCAAGTAGCTCCTTGTCCTGGACCCCAGGAGAGGCACCCAAGGCCAGAAATCAGAAATCAGAAATGAAGAAGATAGGAAGAGTGTTCTGAAATGCCTATGTCAGTTGGGTGATAAAGGTAGTGAGCAGCCACCATGTCTGAGAGATGGCAGTAAGCTGCCATGGAGCAGACTGTGACTGTGAGCAGGGAACATGGTACATCTCTGCTGTTTCCTGGCTTAGTCACCTTTGAACCCCCATATGTGTATGTGGCCTCATTTCAGACACATCAACGTAGGAAGCAGATTTCAGGCGGAGATCCCAGAACTGCAGGAGAGGCCGCTGGCCAGAGTGGATGAGAATGTAGCATCTCTGGTCTGGAAGCCATGGGGAGATGTGATGACCAACCCAGAGACCCAGGACAGAGGTGGCTGAGGCTTTGGGTCAGATCCCAAGACCCCTCCTTCCCCATCCAACTCCAGCATCTCTCTCCCACATTGCATTGCCCTGCCCCGCCTTTCACTTGCCAGTGCAAGTACCAGGTCTGAATTCCTATTGTTCCTCCTTGTTCCAATTACTTAGCCTGCCCTCTGTGGGGATATAAGGAAAGGGGAGTTGACCAGGAGCCCCTGTGCTAAAGGGAAGGCTACCTCCCTGGCATGGCCTGACTCGATTTCTTCTTCCTAATGCTCTTGGGCTTTGCTGGGACCACAGTGATAGAGCTCTGCAATGTGGCATGCTCCAGTGTGATGCCAGGAGGGGGCACCAACCTAGAGCTTGCCCTCCACTGCCTGCATGAAGCCCAGGGCAGTGTTCAGGTGAGACCCTCGGCATCCTGCACTCCTGGGGCTGGGCATTCCGGGCCTTGGATTACCTGTCTGACGGAAGGTGAGGGTCCATGTTTTCAGTCCTTTGAGGCTGGCATAGCAGAGTGGGAGAGTGAAAGCTGCTCAGTTACAGGATTTGTCAATTAGTGAAGGTGTCAGGACAGTGGTTCTCAACCTGTGGGTCAAGACCCCCTTTGTGGGGGGTTCAAACAACCCTTTCATGGGAGTCACCTAAGACCATCGGAAAACATGGATATTTACATTACAATTCATAACAGTAGCAATATGAAGTAGCAACAAAAATAACTTGATGGTTGAGGGTCACCACAGGAGGAACTGTATTAAAGGGTCAAAACATTAGGAAGGTTGAGAGCCACTGTTCCAAGAGAAGGGATTCTGGGGCAGTGCAAGAGGACCAGTGTTCAAGACCTGAGATTCAGTCCTGGGCCATGCTTTCTGCCAAGCTTAGGGGCAGTACCTGGCACATGTATATTGAACACCCACTGGAGGTCAATCATGTCAGGGCTCTGTCTTTGATTTAATATTTTATTTCCTCATCGGGGGATTCTTCAGACTTTCTGAGTGGAAATCCTGTTTTGTTTTTATGGTTTTTCAAGACAGGGTTTCCCTGTGTAGCCTTGGCTGTCCTGGAACTTGCTCTGTAGACCAGGCTGGCCTTGAACTCAGAGTGCTGGGATTAAAGGTGTGTGTCACCCAGTGGAAATCCTCATTTTCATTTTGTACCAGACCCTAGAAAGTCCATGTCTGGCTCTTACTAGGATTAGAGTAGTCCATGCCCTCACAGGGCTTATAAGAGAGACAGTTTTTGTCTGTAAGTGTATTGGCTGAAGAGTGCCGTCACTCACACCTGTGCTTCCAGCACTTGGAAGGCTAAGGCAGGAGGTTAACCAGCTTGGAACAGCCTGGGCTACAGGATGAGGTTCTGTCTCAAAATGTCAAAGGCTAGTGGTGTAACTCATATGTGAGGCCCAGGCTCCATCCCCAGCACTGCTGAAAGGTAAAAGCAGCCTGGCAAGGAGTGCAGCAGAGAGGATCAAATGTAGTGCTAGGTGGGATGGCACTCTTGTAGGCAGCAGGCCCTGAAGGGGCAGGAGCATGTGCCTCACAAGCCCACCTACTGTGTCCTTCGTGGAAAAAGTCATATTTTGAAGGCAAAGATGGCATTCCTAGGGGTGCTCAGTGAGGTTATCATGGGCCCACAGACTGCCCACCAGCCCAAGGACCACTTGTAGGTAACCTTGAACCAGATGACTTTAGAGACATTTGTTTTTTCAATGAAATAAGAATGGAGGCAGTCCCCACTTCCCACGCCCCATGAGTGGCCCACATTTGCTGTCCTTCAGGTTGCCCTGGAGACTCTGTTACTCAGGGGACCCCAGAAGCCCCGGACTCACCCACTAGCTGACTATCGCTACACAGGTAACTGCAGAAAGGGCTCTTTGATACTGAGGCCTAGGAAACTCCACCTCCACCTCTGCCCCTCGGCCTTCTGTCCAGGGCATTTGCCTGACTTTATCAAGGGGCCTGTTCTTTCCAGAGGTACTCTGCAGGCACTGCCTTGAGTTCACTAGACCCCACCAGCCCTGTTGCATCGTTCCCCCAGGGTTCGTCCCAGCAAGACTAGTGTTCCTGACTGGGGCAAGGGATATGGACTCAGGTTGAACACAGCAAAGCCAGGCAGCTTGGGCCCACCTACTCTTGGCCACCAAGGCCCCAGCCAGTTGCCCACATATATAACATGAGGATAATGAGACTCCAGCTTTGTGGGATTGGGAAGACTGTCTGAGATTAGTATACTATCGATGCTCATAATGACAGTGCTAACGCATGTGGTCCACATGTCAGTCAGACTGTGGTCCCGTGAGAAAAACCTCCCCTTCCCTGGCTGTGCTCCCTGGCAGGCTCAGACATCTGGACCCCCATGGAGAAGAGGCTCTTCAAGAAGGCATTCTGTGCCCACAAGAAGGACTTTTACCTGATTCACAAGACGGTAAGATGACAGAGGGCTGGGGCAGCAAGCTCTGCCTCACACAACTGCCCCTCACCTGGCCACAGCACACTTAGCACCTTGTAAGCAGCTTGTTACCTCAGATGTCCTGCTGATGCCCTGCTTCTGGTCAGTAAGTGCTGATCACTCCAGCTCAGCACTTGCTGCCTTTATCTGTCCTGATTTATCACGTGTGCAGGTGTGGAAACACACAGGAACATACAACCTAATGCTCTCTTCTGGCTGTCCTGGAACTCACTGTGTAGACCAGGCTGGCCTAGAACTCACAAAGACCTGCCTGCTTCTGCCTCCTGAGGGCTGAGATTAAAGATGTGTGCCACCACTGCCCAGTTCTCTCTTCTGTTCTTAAAAAAAATGGTGTACATGAAACTACATAAACAAGGTGCAAGGCTGAGTATGTTTTACATATGTGTGCACGCATGGGACTGTCACCACAGGCAAGACAGCAAACTTCTCTGTGGTGCCCAGTACCTCCTGCTTTCCTGGCAGCTATTACACACGCCACTGTGCCTCTCCCCATGTCCCTGTCAGCCTGATCTGTAAGAAAGTTTGCACTTTCTGGCGTTTTGTATCGCTAGGGCAGTCAGACAGCATGTGCTCCACACGTCATCTAGCTGCTTATACTCAGCATACTTACTTTGAAGTTCCTTTGTATTGAATTTATTAATAGTTCATCCCTGCTGCTGCTAAATACTGTTCTCCTGCATGGCTGTACCACAGTTGTATCTAATTATCAGTTGATGGACACTTGAGCAGTTCCCAGTTTGGGCAATTATAAAGTAAAGCTGTTGTGAGTGTCATGTACAAAGTCTGCTCTCAGAGTTCACTGTCCTTCTCAGCATTGCTTCTTTCATTGTTTTTTGGCTGGAAGGTGAATTTGTTCCTGTTGCTTTATCTTGTTCAGGAGCAGAAGTGAGCTTCCTTTTCTTTTTAATTTGGTACTATTCCCTAAGCAGAAGACATGCTGCCTTAACTCCTAGTTTTCGACAACACACAAGCAGTTTCAGATTCATGTAGACAAAGTGTGTTCTGGCATTCACTGACCAGTTAATTTCTTGAGTTTCCTTCTGAGCAGCTCAGCTTTCTCTTCCTTCCTACCTCCTTCCTCCTCCCTGTCTTCTTGTGCTGGGAAGGGAACCCACATCCTCTTTCATAGTAAGCAGTCTCTCTACCACTAGGTCCTACCTCCAGCTCTCCATTTTGTTAGTGTGTCGTTCCCCCCCCCCCCCCCACACACACACAGAGGTTCTTTCTTGAGATAAAGCATCACTGTGTAGCCCAGGCTGGCCTCAGACTCTTCAGTCCTCCTGCTCAGCCTGCTGAGATCTGGGATTACAGTCCCACATCACTCACTGTACCTGGCTCCAGAAGTCATGTTTGTTTGTTGAGACAGGGTCACTCTACATAGTCTGGCTGGCCTGGAACTCACTATGTAGTTCAGCCTGCCTGGAACTCTCAAAGATCATGCTGCCTCTGCCTCCAGAGGATTAAAGACATCACCACCACATTCAGCCCAGGAGTCCTATTTTAGCAGAGGAAGTGGCTGGGCTGAGTACTCTCAACTCCATAGCACTCAGAGCTGTCCTTCTCATGTGGTCACTTTCCCTGGAGGACTTCTGAGGCTTGGTTAGTTGTGATGGCTGTGTGCTCACCACAGAGGAAGAGCATTCTGTATTAGTCACAATCTCACTAAGTGTGGCTATTGCCTCCTGTAACATCACAGTGAGCCTCCTCACCTGTGGGTCTTTATGTGTCTTCCTACAGGGAAGAAGCATGCTGGACTTAGTGCTGGTGGCTACTATGTGGCTTCATTTTGGATCCTTCATCACCTAGAAGGACCAAGATCCCTGTCTTTGCCCAGCCATGGGTAGAGGTGTTAGGGAAGAGATTTCCAGGGTGGAGTTCACATGTCAGGTACTGCCCACAGCCTGCTTCTATGTCTTCTCCCACCAGATCCAGACTAAGAGTGTAGCACAGTGCGTTGAATACTACTACATCTGGAAAAAGATGGTTAAGTTTGACTGTGGCCGAGCTCCTGGGCTGGAGAAGAGGGGCAGGAGAGAGCTGGATGAGGTAGAAAGGACTGAAGACAAGGTAGAGGATGCATGAAGGAGTGGCCTGGGTACATCTGTGGTCCAGCCAGAGGGTGGTAGAGGCTCCCAAGGGAAGGGCTCCGTGCAGAGGATGTTTCCACACTAGTGTCTTAAGTCATCTTTACCCCTTCTGCAGGTCACTTGCAGCCCTCGGGAGAGACCCACCCACCGGCCAACTCCTGAGCTAAAGATAAAGACCAAGAGTTACAGGCGGGAGTCTATCCTTCATTCCAGCCCAAGTGCAGCCCCCAAGCGTACCCCTGAGCCTCCAGGGAGTGTGGAGAGCCAAGGCGTGTTCCCTTGCAGAGAGTGTGAGAGGTACCGGCCTTCCCTCCCTCCGGACCACCACCCTCTTGTTTGCCTCACCTCCCAGCGCCTCTGTCTCTGTCTCACGTCCTGTGACCCCACAGAGTGTTCGACAAGATCAAGAGTCGGAATGCCCACATGAAGCGCCACCGTCTCCAGGAGCACGTGGAGCCTGTCAGGGTCAAGTGGCCTGTGAAGCCTTACCCACTGAAGGAGGAAGAGGAGGAGGAAGAGGAGGAGCTAGGGGCTGACATGGGCCCCCTGCAGTGGTGACTCCTTGCTGGAAGCCGGTTTGCAAGGAGGGAGGATCCAGCCCTGAGCCAGTGCCCTGGGTCTCTCAGAAGTGTTTGGGTCACCCTACCCTCTCTGTCCTCTAAATGCCCAGCTTTGATAGCAAGCTTGGCTGGCATTTGGACAGAACAGGCAGAAGCTGTCACAGGTAGCTCTGAAGTCATGTGGGTGACCAGAGGCTCCATTCTTTCCTGGTTAATAGTTGCTTATTTGCAGTCCCATTCACTTAGAGCAAGGGACCCTGGGAAGCAGAAGGTTTGGTCTAGGTAGCTTTTAGATCTGAGCTGTAGGCATGGGACTGACATTGGTTAGAGAGAATCAGTGAGGACACCTGAGATCCAGTGAGCTGAGCCCTCCTCTGGGTGGGGGGGTCCCTGCATTCCCACCATCCCTAGTCTTGCAATGACTGTATATTGTTAGGTGTGTTTTTTATGTGTCTGCTTGTATCTTATTAAATTGGGTTCTTAAACAGCTGTTTTACAAATTTCTAGCCTGTGTGCTCTGCCAAAGCTTCAGGGCCACAGCTGGGGCCAGGAGGTGAGCAGAGAGGGAGAAGGGGCACAGGTAGCTGTGCTCTGTTGAGCAGCACACACCAGCAGTTCCCAGGCTGTGGGTGGGAACACATACAAGAAGAAAAGCCCCTTCCTCATAGACCTTCATTTTAGGAGAGGACTTGTAGCAGTTGTGAATGGGCACACAGGTGAGAAGGTGGTGATGGTAGGCATGCTCTGGCCATGATAATGGAAGGGGTGGCTAGACTGAAGCCAGAAAAGCATGTGGATGAAGCTGCTCAACCTGAAATGACAGCAGGCAGAATGGTACCTTGGCTGCAGCCCATGTAAGATCAGGAACCTCTGCTCTAACCTCAACTTGCAAGAGGACAGAGAAGAGCCCTGCCTCCCCTTCTGTGTCTCAAGGCCCCATCCCAGCACTACAGAGAAGGTTTTGGCAAGGGACCACATCTCAGCTAAAGATTAAAGGCAGGGAGGACATTTATTTTGGAGCTGGTGAGATGCCGTTTGAGAGGGTAGGCAGGGCAGCCCAGGAACCAGAATTGCCCCTCTTCCTTCCTAGTAATCTACAAATTGATTTCCTGCTTGAACATGTTTTTCCAATATGTGTAGCTGGTAAATGAGGAAATGCACTTTTTTGGTGGGTGTTCCCAGTGACCTGAGCATGGCTATGCAGTGAGCACTCCACTGCTCTGCTCTGAGTGACCCAACTCCAGGACTGGAAATGCAAGCCTGGCTTTATGGGTTGACGGTATATAGTCATCTGTTGCTGCATAGCACATTGCTCCAAAGAGATGAGGCCTTGCAGCAAATGGAAGTGGAACTAGAATTGATAGTGGCCATCCAGACTCACCAGCTCTGTGGTCAGAATACAGTGGTGAGCATAAGGACATTCAGACAAATGTTCAATGGGAAAGGGTCAGGGGAAGCTGACTTTTGCCCTTTCTTGTCACTAACACCCAACTTGAATAACACTTTCCTCAAATGTTCTCTGCTAGCTAAGCAGTAAAGTGCAGTAAAGAAGAGATACAGGTTCCTGCGCCACACCACACTGTTGGGACTAGAATCATTGTGGGCCGAGCCCTGGAGGCTGGTCTTCTAGATGAGACTTTTAGAATAACTGTAGGTTTACAGAAAACTAGCATAGTACCAATAATTTCCACATGCCAGTTTCTTACTGTAGCATAGTGTATTTGCTACAGACACCGAACCATTGTCAGTACTGTTAACTGGCTGCCCATGCTTTTAGATGCCTTCACTAATTTTTAAAACTCTTTTTGTGTGTTCTCTCTCTCTCTCTCTCTCTCTCTCTCTCTCTCTC